ATCGATCTATCTCTCTCAAGCAGCGGCGGCGAGGGGATCGAATACCGGCTCGGATAACGGTCCGACACAGCCAGGCCGCCCGGTCCGGCCCCGGCATTCCGACTACCAGAGGAGGAAGAGCGATTGAAAACGTGCGAAAACGTGCAGTCGCATACTCTGCAATTTTAGAACTCTTTGTTAAGACTATCAAGGTCCTTAATTGTCTTCGGCAAACGGCATTTGGATCAAAATATCTCCAGCACCCCTGCAAAGGAGCCACTTAGCACATTTGTCTTTCCAGTAAACCTGTGAATACTTTGAACTTCTTTAGAGAAAGGGTGTCATTTTACATGGAGTTCTAGTTAGTAAAGGTTTCAGCCTCCTCAGAGTGTGTTGAGTACAACATCACGGCGGCGCATGCACGCCAGCACCAGAGGAACGAGGACGGGGCAGTCGGCCAGTCGCACCACCGGAACCGGATCCGGAACCGACGGAATACATTACCCGAGAGGACAGAACAGAGGCGCCGGAAAGGGGCAAAGGAGCGTGGGCAAAGGGCTGGTAGGGCAGGAGGGGAGGGTCGATGGCATCCTGTGCAGGGCCGACCCGCACCTCTCAGAGGTGCTCCGTGGGTGGACCAGCGAGCAGCCCGGTGTCGTGTTGCGTGCCCCCCCCCCCCCCGCGTTTCCTAAGACAGGAGAGCTAAGGCGGCTGAGCACTCTGAGCGGTGCGACTTACCTCCTCCGGGTTGGAGATGTTGGCGAACAGGTTGGTGCTGTTGTACGGGTCATCGATGTACTCGTCGACGAACTCATCAGAGTGGCCTGCGAACAGAGAGAATATCTTCGTTTAATTCGAAGTCCTTTTCAACGACACTCGGTCAATCAGGGTAAACCACCGTTAATTTAGTACACAGAGTATCAGTTACCACGAATAACGTAGTTACTTCTGAAATTTCCATACATTAGGATAAGAACCATTTTAGATCAAATCTAGCATTAATTTGCCTGAATGACAGTTTGCAGACAAACTCAGAAATGTGGAAATTTTCAAAAAAGTTCAGGGGGGAGGGCAATTCTAGGAGAAATGGTCAAAAATACCTGTCCGTCACGCGATTTGTGAGCGACTGAGAGAGGCTACGTTGTTTTACAACACATGCCCTGGATTCCCCATTTCAAGACACGTCCAGTCATGTTTTGTACGAAGCCGCAGCACCTCTCAGTCGCTTTTACAAATCACGTGAGGTACGGACACCCCTGCCTGGACATGCCCTGAGGCTCCCTTAGAGGCTCCACGGCGAGGGGTCCACCACTCCTAAAAATTCGTACAGTGATTGCAATCAAAACTGATTGCCAATGATTGTGATGATTGCAAAATTATTGAAAGATTGTAAAATGATTGAAAGATTGTAAAATGGTTGAAAGATTGTAAAATGATTGAATGATTGTGAAGTGATTGAAAGAGATTTAATGTGATTGGAGTTGATTGAAAATGGTTGTAATTGATTCAAAATGATTGGAATTGATTCAAAATGGTTGAAGTTGATGCAACACTGTAAAATGGTTGGCGTCATTTAACGCCAAATTATTGGCGTCCTTTAAAGAACGCCAAATATTGGCGTTCTTTTCCGAAAAACGCCAAATATTGGCGT